AAATTTAAATTTTTTTGAAATAAAAATTTCCAGAGTTTTTTTATTTTAAAAAATTCTATATTAAAAATTCTTAAAAAACCTTTGAAGATTTTCGAAGATTTCTCCAGAAATTTTCAAAACTTTTTTTAGGGTGGAGATCTCTAGAGATCTTCACCAAAAAAATTTCCTGATGTTCTTTCTGTCTGAAATGATGATATCATTGGAATTATATAGTATAAATAGGGACATGTTCTTGTTTTGTTTATCTGTTACTTGTTTATTGTTGTTCAATCCAGATTTTCAGCCAATGGAAATTCAGCAGATCTGATGTAACCAAAAATTCAGGATCAAACTGAAGTAGACAAATTTTTCCAGAAAAACCAAAGAATTTTAAAAACATGCTAGGAAGGTAGCTGTATTTATGTTGTAGAGGTTTCTGGAGACCAAAATATTCAACAACCTTTTAGCTTTTGGAGTTGTCCTTCCTGATAGAGATACTGATATTACGGTGATAAGAAGAAGAAAGGAAGTTAAATAAACCGTCTTCTTTCCTGGGGAATTCTTTCTTGCCATCAGAGCTTGAGTAAGTAAAAACTAAAGAATCTTCTTGTTTTTATTTTGTTAAAGGGATAAATAAAACAGTGGAGGGTATAGGAGTGTCTTGCCAAGGTCTGTCAAGTTATATTAAAGAAAGTGTATAGGTTTTGTTAAGAATAAATACATGCTTTAGTTTGAACGCCATTTTGGAATGTTGGTCAAGAGATTAGCAGGAGTAAAAATTTAAGGAGGATTAATTTCCAGTTATGACTATTATACATTATATATATCTGATAGTCAGGCAACTGACACTTACCAGCTTTACACGTTGTCTCCAAAGTCTAGGCAGGGTTTTACCTCAAGCCTGGGCCGACCAGTAGGTATTTTATAGCACATGTGATGCTTTAGTGATAGTTGTCAATTTATCTTAAAAATTTGAGAAGAGTTAATTTCCAGTTATGGCCATTATACATTGTATATATCTGGTAGTCAGGCAACTGATACTTACCAGCTCTACATGTTGTCCCCAAAGTCTAGGCAAGGTTTTATTCCAAGCCTAAGCCAACCAGTGGTATTTTATAGCACATGTGATGCTTTATTAATGGTTAACAATTTATCTTCTACACCCTACACTAAACTTGTAGTCAAATAAAGCGCTTGCCAATACAACTAGAATTTACTAGAAGGGCTCCAATCAGGATTGTGAGATGTCAACTGGGATTATTAGGCATGTATACTTGCATCATATGCAGCATGCAGTTGATCAATAATGTGACTTACTGAAATAGGTCCACAGCCTGTCACCATTACTTGGAATTGAACCTGTAACATTAGTACTGATGTACCAGTGATTTATCAATGCGCTATAGCTCCACTGAGCTTTAAAAATTTGAGGAGGGTTAATTCCCAGTTATGGTCATTATACATTGTATATATCTGATAGTCAGGCAACTGACACTTACCAGCTCTACACGTTGTCCCCAAAGTTTAGACAGGGTTTTACCCCAAGCCTGGACCAACTAGTAGGTATTTTATAGCACATATAATGCTTTAGTGATGGTTGTCAATTTATCTTCTGCACCCCACACTGAACTTGTAGTCAAATAGAGCACTTGCCAATATAACTAGAATTTACTAGAAGGGCCTCAACCAGAATTGTGAGATGTCAATTGGGATTATTAGGCACATATACTCACATTATATGCAGTATACAGTTGATCAATGACATGACTTACTGGAATAAGTTCACAGCCTGTCACTATTACTTGGAATTGAATCTGTAATACTAGTACTGATGTACCAGTGATTTACCAATGTGCTATAGCCCCACTGGGCTTCTAATTAATTTTAATAATAATCAATTTTATTTTATTTTATTATTATTATTTTTTTTTTTAGCTTTTAATCAAATTGCAACTGTAAATATTTATTACTCCAATTTTGGAAAACAGTAATACAATATATAATACATGATGTTATACTAAAGCTAAACTAGTACAATTTTGCAGAATACTTGTTAATGAGTTTAGATTTGTATATACAGTAATTCTTGAATTTTTAATATCAAGATTATTGTGTTATCCATATAATTTAACTATTTACTAACTATTTCACTACAAGAAAGTAGGTTTATTAAGCTATTACTGCATCAATGCCAATATATATAGGTTATTATTTTTGAAGGCAGATCAGAAATTTTCTGACATGATTTTAAAAATAACATTATATATGTATTATTCAAAAATTAAGTTCAAAAAAATCATATCTAGAATTTTTGTTGCCTTTAAAAATAATTACCCATATTCAAACTGTCACTCTCAAACAAATATATGGTTCTAAGAGATAAAAAAAATTTTATTTTTTAAGAAAAAAGAAGGAGTAAAAAAAATAGTTGAAAAGTTTGTTTTGGTAAATAAAAATTCTTCAATATCAACTTTGATCAATTAAAATAAATTTTTTACCACCACCTGCAGCTAAGCAAATCATTTAATTTCTACTATTTTATTGTTAATCAGAAATATTTAAAAGTACTTTCAGGAGAGTATTTCTTAAAACTTTACACTTAAAGACTTCTAATCTTTAGAAAGAATTGGTATTTTAATTAATGATTTTTTTTTCCAGCTAAATTTTTAAGGATTTATAATTTCATTTTATCAGTGAATAGTTTCAAGACCCTTTCTTCAACTATTTTTGGGATAATAACAAAGGAAGCTTGTTATTGGATTGGAATAAGATTTCTTTTAATCTTGAAGAAAAAAAAACCAATTCAAGAGGAGGTAGAAAATATTATAACACTTCTTAACAAAAAGGATGCTTTATCACTTTGCTCTTTTTATTATATTCAATAATATCATCAGATTTTGTGTTATGTGAGATAGGACATGTGGGAGTTATACTGTATATCTTGTTTATATTTCTTGCTATGTGTAAATTAACCAGTCCAAAATTCAAGCCAATCATCATTTAGAATACTGGTGTAATCAAAAATTCAGTGTCAAACTAAGGTAGACAAAATTCCCTTCCAAAAACTAGAAAAAAGTATACACACTTGAGAAGATAAGAGAAGAACTTAAGAAAGATAAAAGAAGAGTTTTAAAAATTAATAATAATCTTCTCTAAAGTCTTGAACCTTTGAATAAAAGAAGGAGGATGTTTTTTCTACAGGTTTTTTTTTCTAACAAAATATTCTTGCCTTTAACTTTGTAGATGAGTTTTTTTTGTATTTATTTGCTAAAATACAGAAAGTTTATATTAAAGAGAGAAAGAAATAAGAGAAGAGAGACTAAGGTCTTTAGATATTAATATTGTTAAAGAAAATATGTAGACTTTATTACAAAAAAATATAAAATTTCTTTGGAATATCTGTTTTTGTGTTGGCAAAAGGATCAGCAAAAAAATTTTTTTAATTTTATACTTATCAATTTTATTTGATTTTATATATTAAAATTAAAATATATAATTATTTACTAAATATTTATTTGTTTTATCAAATCTTAAAACTATATATATGCTTTTATCTATACTATCTATTGATATGCAACTATACTGTTCAAGTAATTCTAATTTTTAATATCCCTACAATTTATCTTTTTCTTAATACCAATGAATATAAACAAGTTTAAATAATTTACTATAATATTAAATTAATATAATAATTTTTATTATTTGATATTAATATAATTTAAATTTAATTACTTATCAAACCATATTAATTAATTTCTTCATCTTTATTTTTTCCACTTATAACAATATTAGAAAAAAATAGATTTCTATGAAAATGTGATAAGAAATAGGTAATATTATTATTTTTCAATATTGTTAAAAAAAATATTTCTAATTAATAATTTTTATTAATAGAATTAATTAATTATTCTTCACGAAATTTATTAAGACTTGTTATTAAGATATTAAATCTTTCAATTTGTAACAAAACCAAACCATCTTTATTTTTTTATATAAAATAATTTAAATTTTCCAATTTTAATATTCACAAAGATTTATAAAATTCTATAATTCATTGATATTTTTTAAAAGCTTTACTTTTTGTCAATTTCTTTTGTTTAATCTAAAAAAATTACAGTCCACCCTTGTTAATAGCACATCGATGGTTCCAGGATTTTTTGGTGCTAATAACAAATTGTTCTATTAATGAATTAATGACATCATATATGCACCAAACACGTAATTTATTTATAAATTAACTATCAATTACAATAATAGTTGCAAGAACATTGATGCCGTTGTTGAGCACCAGAACACCACCGATCAAAGCCCAAATATAAGAAAAGGAACACCTTTAGAGTTAGAAGACGAAGCTGAGCAATCGCCTGAGCTAAAATAAACCACCTATAGTCGCAAACACAGTACCGATGCATGATAGACAAGATAATATATTGTGAAGATGTCAGCTGTAAAGGAAATAATAGAGATAGTGATGTGAATAACTTACCTAAGAACTTCGCCATAAGAATGAGCTAGTATCCAACAGAATAGGACTTTACGTTTTAATGTGTTTTTTTCGCAAGCAAGGATCACATTCATATTAACATTTTGTATGCTCTTTACTTCCTGAGATCTCATGTGTTTCTTTCGCATAATTCCTACTTCTTGAAGGAAATAAAGATAGTATTATTACACGTTTTGTGTACTTCTCTTATTATGCAGAATCTCGACAAGACGTACATAACACATCTCTGGTTGAAAAGTCACTGACGCTATCAAAAAAATCCAAAGAGACACCTGTAGAAGAAGAAATGAAAGATATCAGCATGGATAAGGGACCCAATGATAAATAACGTAATGTGATACTGGAAGCAAAGAATGAAGACATCTGTATACTGTCGTAAGCTATCCGGAAACCCACAGTATTATTCGTCACGGTTAGTCACAATAAGATAAGTCTTTAACTCTTAAGGCATGTTTCCGATTTGGCTGTTCTCTCACTTTAACTTCTCTACTGACTAGCCTAGAACCCTCTCTATACCAATTCCCTTAGGCAATCCTCGGTTCTCTCTTGCAGTCACGTAGCCCAAGTTACAAGTCTTCTTTGGTGCACACTAAAACACAAGGTAAGAGTTTATCTTAAACATTACTTTATTGTAAATGCTAGTAGTCTAATCTTCTACAACACTTATTACATGCTATCGGATTGCACATGTATTTATACATGCGCCTGTTATTTACATGTTTACATCTGATCGCTATTCTAAACTACTCTAGAAACTTCCCACCTCTTAAATTTTCCACGCCTTAATTTCCCATCGTTCCTCCACAACAACACTAATTACGTAACATGACAGGCGTCGCGTTACTGCGCCCTTTATTTTACCCATGACAATACAATCCGTAGGAAGGTGAGTTGACTAATTGATCTATCATCGTGAGGTTATTACCCTAATTAAACTAATCACTGACAAAAGTGTTCCAACCATGAAGGAGCCTATATCAGAAGTCATGCAGTCAATGGGCTAAAGACCAACCTGAATTAGAGCTTATTTAGAGATTAAAATCGATCACAATGAAGAAAGAAGTAAAGCCGTACGTCGTTTATTATTTAATACACCGCAGCTAACTCTTAGATCATGGTACTGGGAAGTATGAAGGTAGACATCTAGGTAGATCGAATCATTTGTCTCAAAGATTTATATGAATGTTTTTTATTAATTTTATAATAGGTGGCGATTTTATTAAGATTAACTGTACTTCAAGTATTATTAATTTTATTTATTTGAAATAAAGAAAATTAATATTTAACAAAAAATGTTATGTAGTAATGTTATTATTATGATTTGAAACCAAAC